TATTCGGTATTAGGCCGAATAATAGACTTCATTGGGTGTTCGACCGAATAATATAAAAATTTGTCGAACAGGTAAAACACTGAATAGTTGCCTAATATTCGTTGCAACTCTATGAATCAACTTTTCCATGACATGATAATTTTATTCATTTATCATGGTACTATTAATCTTGTGTTATGATCTCATAGTTTAAAATTTAAAACAGATAAGCATTTCCAAAATGTTATGTATGTTTAATATAGAGTAAGATGGTACAATTTCGAACATAATATAATTTTGAACAAAATAAAATTTGAATCAAATTTTCGAAATTCAAGTTTGATTCTTGTCCATTTACTCAAAAATGATAATAATATAAATGAATATATACAAAGTCTAATCGACGTCTATTATATTATCATTTTTCATTGGATAGCTCAATATCTCCTACACAATGAGACAATTACTAAATATGAACCTCAAAAATTGGATTCAAATTTTTTTTCGTTCAGTCATCATGTTTGACATTCACTTTACCCTACTTAATTTTTATATCATTCATTGTTTTAATATTATTATTATTTATGTCAATAATATATTAATTATATCACGTCTTGCAATATTATTTATATATGGATTTCTTTTAATGCTACAAATATATGTGCATAATACTTTATGAAATAAAATATTTTTATTGTAATATAATATAACGATTATTTTTCCGTTAATATAAACATAACATCATTTTATAATCGTAATTGTGCTTTATTTATATAGAATGTTATATCATACTATAATATATATTATAATATGTAGCTTGAAATAAATCGCTATAAAATTACTAAAATCGTTGAAATCTCTATTAATTCACACACTTTCAATAGAATTATACTAAAAATGGATCAATTAATAGAGATTTCAGTGATTTCAGTGATTTATTTCCACCAGAGTATGTAAAACATACACACACACACGCACGCACGCACGCACGCACGCACGCACGCACGCACGCACGCACGCACGCACGCACGCACGCACGCACGCACGCACGCACGCACGCACGCACGCACACACACACACACACACACATATGTCAACTATATTTTGAGGTTACTTATTTCTAATATAAATATATCATTATCACTACATTGAAAAAGCTATATTTGAAAAAAGCAAAATTTTAATATAAATACAACATTGTAGCAACTTTCGAGTTATATATATTGGGAGTACAAATAAGTTTCCGCCGTTTTTTATAAAAAATTAAGCATTTATTGTGAAAGAACGGTACATAATGTTTTATTGAAAGTATTGTCCATTGCTAGCCATTACTTTTTCCCATCTTTCTGGTAGCATACGGATACTGCGTTGGAAGAACGCTTCTTTTGAGACTATCCAATTATCAATCCAATTTTTGATTTATCTTCATATGATGTGAAGTGCTGCTCAGACAGGCCATGCGCCATCGATCGAAATAGATGGTAATCGGAAGGGGCAATGTCTGGTGAATACAACAGGGTAGAACTTCCCAAGTGAATGTTTCCATGTAGGTTTTGACCGGCGCCGCAACATGTGGTCGAGCATTATCATGCAGAAGAATAATTTTAGTTTTTTGTCATGCCTGAAGTAGTAGTAGGCGCGTTTTTTCTTGAGTGCTCGGCTCAATCTCATCAATTGTGTTCGGTAGAGAGCCCCAGTAACGGTTTCGTTCGGTTTGAGCAACTCATAATACACGACACCAAGCTGATCCCACCAAATACACAACATAAGTTTTTTTTCCATGGATATTCGGCTTGGCTGTCGATGTTGAAGCATGGCCAGGTGATCTCCATGATTTCCTCTTCTTTATATTTTTTATCGTAGTGGATCCATTTTTCATCACCAGTGACTATACGATGCAAAAAATCTTTTTGTTTATGCCTGACAAGCAGTATTTCACATATGGAAAATCGGCGTTTAACGTTTCTCGGCTTCTCGGTTTCTCGGCAGTTCATATGGAACCCAATTCCTTTGTTTTTGAATCATTCCCAATGATTTCAAACGATGTGAAATTGCTTGTTGAGTCGCTCCTAATGTAAGTGCAAGTTCTTTTTGCGTTTGGCACGAATCTTCATCCAATAATGCTTCCAATTCCGCGTCTTCGTACACTTTCGGCCTTCAGCTACGTTCTTTGTCTTCGACGTCAAATTCACCGTTCTTAAACTTTTGAAACTACTCATCAACTTCTCTCACTTAAGGCAGCCTCACAAGCAGTATGCTTCTACAAGCAATCGATGAGCCTCAGCTGCAGATTTCTTCAAATTAAAGAAGTAAATCAAAATTCCCGCAAATGACGCTTATTCGGTTCAAAACTCGGCATTTTCGCACAAAAAAAAATATATGATGCTGATACAAAATCTCTAGTATTTCAAGGTTATATTGTTGACAGATGTCGAACCTTACGATATAACGTTTTACATCAGATAATTTTAACCATATCTTGCTAGTAACGTCGTCTTTTGTCAAACGGCGGAAACTTATTTGTACTCCCAATATTATAAACTCAAATGGAATGAATGAAATGAATTTATTTATAAAAACTGGAAAAGGTCCTTTGCTTAACGATGACCATCAATGCAATAGTCTACAAAATAAATTGTTTAAATTGTGAATCTTCTTATGTTGGCCAAACAAAAAGGAAATTAAAAACTCGTATTAAAGAACATAAGGCTGACATAAGAAAATTCACTTCCGAGATGTCAGTGGTTTCACGTCACCAGTTGCATGAATTGGATTGGGATAATATAAGAATTTTAGACACAGAACAATCGTTAATGAAAAGAAGAATTTTTGAAATGATATACATTAAAGACCAAATAAGTGGTATCAATAAGCAAAGTGACACTGAAGGTTTGCCTGATATTTATCTGCCTCTTCTTAAGAAAGCTCTCTCTCTCTCTCACACGTAATGAATAATTCTAGAACTTTCTAAACTTTTGACTTATACATATAAATAGTGGTAACATATATGATATAACAAATAACAACACACAATGTCACGACAATTTTCTACGTGTGCAAAGGATGTACTTGAGATTCATCATTATTTTTTTGCTGTCAAACAGGTAACGATTCTATTCTGACACATTTCGATTAGAAGATATTAATGATACGTAAATTTATTAAATTAGAATCTGGAAATTTTCGTTCTACACTTTTCGTGATATGATTATTGGCGGGGTAACATTATTGTACGAGGCACTTTCACTTATGAAAGAACACTTTTATATATAATTATATCATACGACGGTTGAATTTAATGTCACTTCACTTATGAAAGAATACTTTTATATATATTTATATCATACGACGGTTGAATTTAATGTCAGCTATGTGTAACTCTGCGTTTTAAGAATATTGTGAATTTACTAAGGATAGCCAGATTGTGGCCGAAACGTCTAATGTTTTTATTAATGTAATGATAATTAAATATCACAAACTATAACTTGTGCGGTGGTTTTTTTATGCTCTTTTTTTCATACGTTTTGAATTATAAACCACGTTCATTTTTATGATGTATTGTAACATTAAAATTTGTAGCTATTATATAGTGAACACATAACTGTGTCGACTGGGCGATTTGCCCTTTCGACTATTCCGTTTAGAGATGCTACGGCTACGGTTCTTAATTTATAGTTATTGACGAACGATATAAATTCAAATGAAATAAAGCCGTCTCGCGATCTATTCCGTCCGACAATTTCGGACGGAACATCGATGATATTGAAAAGAGAATATAAGTTGTCGCAAACTTCTTTCAAATTTGTCGTTTTTGCAGAAAACAAATGAGTAAAGCGAGTAAAAGCATTTATCGACACGAGAATTTATAAATGTCATTAGTAACTTGAAGAAGAAAATGACCGAAATGATCTAAATGAATTATTTCTAGTGATTTAGAAGCGGCTTTACTAATTTGTGAAAGTCCTTCTGTTTGTCTAGCAGACGAATTGGCGACTAGACACGTAACACAATTATATAGTCGCGAATTTGTTAGCGCATTGAAGGGAACTATTACGTTTTGTTTATCCCTTGAAAAATTTTTTCGATACTACAATGTGCGTTTTCATTATGGTAAGTACGTATAATTGTATTCGTCATTGTTTCTGATATCGCAAAGCGAGAGCAATCGGTTTTCCTTTTTTATACATTAAGCCTTCTAATATAATTCGAATTTTTCATCATCATTAAATTTTAGGTTATAAGCCCTATTTTTCAAATGAGCATCCTGCAGCTGTCGGAATTCTAATTCTCTTTCAAGAGGCAGTGACTCGACGAACATTACTAGTTGAAGCGTTCATGTAAGACATATTCTTTCCTGCTCGGTGAGTTACCTTAAATGTGTAATCTTGTAATCTAAGGGTCTAACGGGCTATTCGAAGATTCAAGTTTGCTTTATTAATTGCGTAAACCGGTGCATTGCAGTCAGTCACTACGGTGAATTGTATATGTGGAATCTCTCTATGGCCCTGACTATGGCATTTCCAACTCGAATGATAATTGGCTTCTGCCTTATTAGTCGCCTGAAATAAGCTATTGGCCCAATTGCCAATCGATTGTTCTTGAAGGAGAATTGTTCCTAGAAAACTTGCATCAGTGTGCAATTTTGTAATTACAATTGGATTATAAAAATGCAAAACTGGATATGACGACAGTTTTTTCTCAATATGTTAAATGAGTTTAAACAATTTTCATCGAAAGAAAAGTTAATCGATTTTCTGAATAAGCACTGCAATGATTTAGCTTTCAATGTATAATTATTTATAAATTTACGAAAATAATTTGTGAGCTCCAAAAACTTCACGAATTCGATTTCGGCTGCGGAAAATCCGAAATTGTTTGCATGTGCCTCTCACTTAGTGTTGTTTCATTCTCTTTAATAACATACCCTAAATATTCTATTTCTTTATGTAAAGTCTTATACTTTCTATAATTTAATTCGAAACCATACTGTCTTAAAATAATTAAAACTTCTTTTAGGACTTCTAAATTTCACTCGACTCCGACGGTATCAGAATATCGTCGATAGAGATTAGAATCTTGTCCTCTCTTATGAGTGACTGCAACACCTGCACGATATACTTTTGGAATTCGGCCAGTGATTCCGAGAATCCTACTAATAAGCGCGTATATTCATATTGTGCATCGGATGTGGCAAACAGGAAGTATTTTGTTGAATTGGGATGTACTTGTATCTGGTGAAAACCAGATCTTTAAGATCTAACAAAGTAAATACTGACTTATTCGTTAATTTTGCTAGTAGTCTTCGACTAACGGGAATGAGTACTTTTGAACTCGTGCATTTAGCGGACGTAAATCGACACACGAAGATCACCACTTTTTTTCTTTATAGATATAATTCTGGCGCAGTAAGGCGAATTAATCTGAATAATTCAATGATCTAATAAAGCATCCGTTATTTGCCTAACTTGCTTGCGTTCCTGTAATGCAAATCTTCTTGGTGCATACATAAACCGAATCATCCTGTAAGTTCACTTGAATCGAATAATCATTTTCTACTATCGGAATATCAACTTTTTCCACATCGACAATATTCGATCTAAATGTTTTTTAACCGAGTTATCAAAATTAATCTCAATATCTTCGATTAACGATTCAATATCCGATGCCGTATAACAAATATTAGTAGACAATAAAAGTTGCATATAACTCGCTAAAGTATCTGCTTCTGGGCAATGTATCAAAGTTATTTTCTCTTGAGCCAAAAAATCTCGACTTAGAATTAAGTTGATATCAGTTAATTCACTTAGTACTACATGGTACATTATCTCAAAGTTTCTATTATCGAATTCTTCCAATTTAATCTCAACTTTATGTTTGCCTAAAATATTGATCGGCTTCAGATAGCGTTAAATTTCCTACTTTCTACTTTTAACATTTCTAAAGATTTATCAACTAATGTTCGAAATATTTTTAACTAAATGAAAGAGATCGGACTACTAGTGTCAATCAACGCATTTAACTCGCAATTGCTATTTTCTAAAGAGATAATTTTTACAATAGGGCTACATAGCTGAAAATTATCCAGTGACGGCGGCAGCACCACGGCGGCGGTAGTCTACTGAGACAGCACCGTGCTTCCCGACGGCGACGAAGCTGAGGAATACTTCCCGGTAAGTTCATTCTTCCTTCTTAATTTTTCGCATTCGCCGATGCGATGAATTGGTTTCTTACAGTAGAAGCACACTGACTCCTCTTCGCTGCCTTCTTGAGCTTGACCTTTGCGTTGATTTTTAAAGGAAATGTTTGCTGGTTTGAAAATCTTGCGCCATATTCTTTTTCTTCTACTCGGAAATGTCATCAGTTATTTGACGCATTTTCTCCAAAAATTCTTCAACGATGTTCGCGTTGAGGGTTAGAGCGGTGACTCTCAAAGAACTCTTCATAATGTCTCTAATTAGTAAGTTAATAATATCGGATTGCGATAAATTGAGTCAATGCACTAATGCAAGTTTATTAATTACATACTGATCGAAGGTTTCTTTGCTACAGATCTATCTGCGTGCTTCGATCCTCTGCATCACAGCATAAAAGGGTAGTTTCCGGTTATACATTTTGATCAATTTTTGTTTTAAGACAGTCCGCGATTTCAGAACCTGACTAATTTGTAGGTCGTATCAGCGAGTAGTAAAGCAAGGCGGGTTCTAACCCATGGGGCTAGAAGGGAGCGCGGGGCGCGGGGGGTACTCGTAGGCGCGGAGGATGCTCGTAACGCAGGGAAGGGGGGGAAAAGGTCCCGGCGCTATTGATGTAAGGACCCCGGTCCTTATTTATTGCCGCCGCTCTGCAAAAATGCAAAGGCTTGGATAC